TATCGTAAGTCAATACCCAAGGCAGCAAGGATACAATCACCCTTAAACAATTACTTACGAAGTTCGGTGAAAAATGACAAAACTCCAATTTTCCACGGGCATTGTATATATGAAGGGTAATCAGAACGTGGTTGCTAATGCCTTGTCCAGGATCAATGCCATTCAAATGCCTTCAAAGTTAACTGCTGAGGAAATTTCGAAAGAGCATAGCAAAGACGTTGAAATGCAGACTTTATTAAGTGGCAATACTTCTCTGTATCTACAAAAATTAACATTAGACAGCTATCCAGTTTATTGCAACACTAAAGATAATTTTGCAAAACCCTACCTACCGCAAAGTCTTCGCAGAATTGCTTTTGACATCGTACATGGAAATGCACACCCAAGCATAAGAGAGTTGCGAAGAAGGTATGTGTGGCCTGGGATTGGGAAAGACGTCACCATGCGGGCACGTCAATGCATTCCTTGCCAAAAATCCAAAATACACAAACATAATCACCTCACTCCTATCCATATTCCTATTCCTGAAAACAGATTTTTGCATATTCACATCAACATAATTAAATTACCTAATATTAATGGATATCCTTATTGCCTTACAATCATCGACAGATTTACAAGGTGGCCAGAAGCTATTCCTCTAAAGGACATTTCTTCAGACACTATTGTTCAAGCCCTATTTTCAAACTGGATATCAAGATTTGGTACACCATGTGTGATAACATCCGACCAAGGATGCCAGTTTGAATCAGCTATATTCAAATCATTGATTGATGCAATAGGTGCTAAGAAAATACGGACAACGGCATACTACCCTCAGTCCAATGGTCTGGTTGAATGCTGGCATAGAACCCTGAAAGCAGCTTTAATGTGCTCTCCTGAGCCCTGGATCAAAGTATTACCTGTAGTCTTACTAGGTTTACGTTCTTCATACAAAAAGACCTTAAAGCATCTCTTGCTGAGATGGTTTATGGAACCACATTAAGACTACCACGAGATTTTCACATCTAAAGAACTGTCATCCGATTCATAAGCATTTCTGGACTGTCATAGAAAATAATGCGTGATATAAAGCCTACAGCCACAGCTCATCATAATAAAAGCCAATATGTTTGTACCAAGGACATGAATACATGCACTCATGTATTTGTCAGGTCAGATCATATTCGAAAACCACTTGAGCCTCCCCATATGTGGACCATATAAAATCATAGAAAAGAATTTCAGACAAAGTGTACAAAATTTCTATGACTGGTACTAATAAGAACATATCGGTTGACAGATTGAAACCAGCATATACAGTTAAAACAGATAAACAGTCAACCAAGCACATACACAGAATTCAAACCACATCACTGGAGTTAACTATGGTTCCTCTAAGAAAAACCAATCCTAGAAAAGTCTCTTTCAAATTATGAACTTATTTATTTATTTCTAACGGATACTTCTTTTTCCTTTGAAGGGGAGTGATATGGCGCAATGAACACGGCCACATGACACGTGTCAGTTGATTGACGCCAATCAATCAAATATCAATCAAGCAAGCTATAGCTAGCGGTTTATTTAATACGATCGGGAAATATTATCTCGAGTTTTTTTGAAACGATCTAAAATTATGTATCGCGTTTTTCATCGAGCATTTTCTCGGGATCAAAATTGATATGAGAATTTAATGTAATATCAACACCTTTATTAATTGCGATATAAAAAAACACTCATTGTCGAGTCTACATCAAGTAATTGCGATTTCATTTAAAGATTAATCAATAATATATATGGCACACATATGCCATATATATGCATATCTATATATATATATATAATATATATATATATATATATATTATATATATATCTTCTTCTTCTATATATATAAAAATAAGTCAGGTTTTCCTTCCTGACGAAATAACTCCAGAACGCACGAACCGATTTCGACAATTTTGCATTCGTTGGCAAGTTCTCGGGCTCCGCAAGGTTTATAGCTAAGAAAATTAGTTGTGCATGGCATCGTGCCTTAATGCAAGCTGCTGGAACTTCACGCACCGTAATTAAAGATCCGAGTAATGACATTAGTGAGAATTATCAGAATTATGCTTGGTTAAATCAACGAGCAAAGAATAATGATGTAACGCACTGAATTTCACGATTCAATCAAAATTGCTGGCGATTTGGTGACATACCAATGATCTGACTGGTCTTCCGTTTGACTTCAAACGATTGCAATTTTCAGTTCGCCTTGCATTCGCAATAACAAGTCGCAAGGCCAATCGCTTAGTGTTTGCGGGATAAATTTCAAATAGATTATTTAGAAAATCATTGTTTTTCACATGAGCAGTTATACGTTGCCTGTTCACGAGTTGGAAAACCATCCGCTTTGTTTGTGTTAACGTCAGACGAAAAAACAAAAAATGTGGTTTACCAAAGAGCACTTTAATGAAACGGATAATTTGCGGATTCACTTTCATTTACTTAGAGAAGTTCAACTAAAAAACACTTCATTTTTGTAATCGAAATAAATTCTTTACTGTTGTATGATAAAATCACATTTTTCCTTTTCAAATATAAAACAATCAAAAAAATTCTTCATTTTTCTCACAAAACCATCTGGTGGCGAAACGGAGTTCGTCGAGTTTGCTAGTATATACATATATATACACATCACACAAACACACACCTACATACATATATAATAATATATACTAGCAAACCCGACGAACTCCGTTTCGCCACCAGATGGTTTCGTAAGAAAGATGAAGAAATTTTTTGTTTGTTTTATATTTGAAAAGGAAAAATTTGATTTTATTACACAACAGTAAAGAATTTATTTCGATTACAAAAATGAAGTGTTTTTAGTTGAACTTTTCTAAGTAAATGAACGTGAATCCGCAAATTATCCGTTTCATTGAGTGCTCTTTGGTAAACCACATTTTTTTGTTTTTTGGTCTGAGGTTAACACAAACAAAGCGGATGGTTTCCCAACTCGTGAACAGGCAACGTATAACTGCCCATGTAAAAAACAATGATTTTCTAAATAATCTATTTGAAATTTATCCTGCAAACACTAAGCGATTGGCCTTGCGACTTGTTAATTGTCATTGCGAACGCAAGGCGAACTGGAAATTGCAATTGTTTGAAGTCAAACGGAAGACCAGTCGGAATCATTGGTATGTCACCAAATCGCCAGCAATTTTTGATTGAATGGTGAAATTCAGTGCGTGTACGTCATTATTCTTCACGGCAAGAATTGCTCGTTGACTCTACCAAGCATAATTCTGATAATTCTCACTAATGTCATTACTCGAATTTTTAATTACGGTGCGTGAAGTTCCAGCAATTTGCATTAAGGCACGATGCCATACACCACTAATTTTCTTAGCTATAAACCTTGCGGAGCCCGAGACCTTTCCACTGAATGCAAAATTGTCGAATTGTCGTTTGTGCGTTCTAGGGTTATATCGTCAGGAAGAAAACCTCAACTTATTTATATATATATATATATATATATATATATATATATATGTAGATGTAGATAATCTATTTGAAATTATTTTAAACAATTCTTGATTATTTTCATTACTCGAATTTTTAATTACGGTGCGTGAAGTTCCAGCAATTTGCATTAGGGCACGATGCCATGCACAACTAATTTTCTTAGCTATAAACCTTGCGGAGCCCGAGACCTTTCCAACGAATGCAAAATTGTCGAAATCGGTTCGTGCGTTCTGGAGTTATTTCGTCAGGAAGGAAAACCCGACTTATTTATATATATATATATATATATATATATATATATAATATATATAAGATAATTTTTTTGAAATTATTTAAAACAGTTATTGATTATTTTTATTACTCGAATTTTTAATCACGGTGCGTGAAGTTCAAGAAATTTGCATTAGGGCTCGATGCCATGCACCACTAATTTTCTTAGCTGTAAACCTTGCGGAGCCCGAGACCTTTCCAACGATCGCAAAATTGTCGAAATCGGTTCGTGCGTTCTGATGTTATTTCGTCAGGAAGGAAAACCCGACTTATTTTTATATATATGTAGATATATATATATATATATATATATATATTATATATATATATACACTAGCTGACCCGACATACAGTTAAAAAAGTATTTAACTTTTCAATATCATTCAACTTTTTTTTTTTAAATTATCCATAAATAAATTTAATTAATACAATAGTTATATTCATTATCAAATGAACAATTTAACAATATTATATTCAGGAATGCAATTTCAATAATTAATGTTATTATAATTCATATTAATTATATAATTAATTTTAATTAATATAGCATATAATTCCTTTTTTTATTTTAAACTTTTAATGTAGTAGAGTTTATTGTAATGCCAAATGATATACAATATTCTTGGTAAGATTATTAGGTGTATAAATATATAAATTATTTGGGTTTCTGACTCTTATATATATATATAATATAATATATATAATATATAATATATATATATATATATATATAATAATGCATGTGTGTGTATGTTATATATATATATATATATATGTGTGTGTGTATTTATATATGTATGTGTATGCTAATAAATTTTGAATTATAACACACTGATTATGAGACAAACCTAGTCTCGAAACGTTTGTGAAAATTATTATTTAATAAATTAGTGCAAAAGAGAGTGTTGTTTGTTCATATTTCCAGATTAATATATATATATATATATATATATATATATATATATATATGTATATATATACTAGCTGACCCGACAGACAAGTAAAAAAGTATTTAACTTTTCAATACCATTCAACTTTTTTTTTTTAAATTATCCATAAATAAATTTAATTAATACAATAGTTATATTCATTTTCAAATGAACAATTTAACAATATTATATTCAGTAATGCAATTTCAATAATCAATGTTATTATAATTAATATTAATTATATAATTAATCTTAATTAATATAGTATATAATTCCTTTTTTTATTTTAAACTTTTAATGTAGTAGAGTTTATTGTAATGCCAAAGGATATACAATATTCTTGGTGAGATTATCAGGTGTATAAATATATAAATTATTTGGGTTTCTGACTCTTGAGCAAGCAACATAGAGCTGTCCGTGATTAAAGCACGGATTTTCTAAATTTATATCGCAAAAGATCATTGTCTGCCCTTGTGACTTGTTTTTGGTTATAACATATGCCAAACGTATAGGAAACTGCAGTCTTTTAAAAGGTATTACTGATTCCGAAGGAATTAGTGGTATTGTAGGCAAAAGAACAACATCATCTTTGAATTTTCCGCCCAGAATAATTGCCTCTATAATGTTTCCCATAATTTTTGTTATTGCTAATCTTTTGTCATTGCATAATTTTGGGGCATTTAAATTTCTTAATAATATAATTGGAGAACCAACTTTCAATAGTAATTTGTGCGGCGGCATTCCTGGTAAATCAAGAATTTAAAAATTCGACTGAATAATTGACGATTTCATCAGGATCAATAACAGTATCAACTGATTTAAATGTGAATTCATATCCTGGCAGTATATGTTGTATTTTTAAGTTCATTTCGTCTACATTCAAATTCGTTGCTGCTAAAATTGCTTGTTCTTATAGCCGCTCATGATCTTTATGATTATGCTTTGAATTTGGAAAAATATTTTCTATTAGTTTGGCTTTGCTATCAACCATATTACAAAAATTATCAGGGAATTGAATGTACTCTGTATTTTCATAAAAATTAATTCTGCCATTACCAATATCCAATAATTGTTGTGAAATTTTTGACCTCAGTGCATCATTTAGTTATTGAACACAAATGTTAACACTAAGATATAATTTCTTTACGTGACGCCACAGATAAGACTTTTTGAAGCAGGCATTTATTTCATCAGCACGCGTCGCTCGTGGAATAATGGGCAATGTCTGTCTGAAATCGCCAGACAGTAGCAATAGGCAGCTACCAAAAAGACTATTTTTGATATCTTTCAGCGACCTATCAAGAGCTTCAAGCGAATGCTTGTGCGCCATAGTACATTAATCCCAGATGATTATTTCACATTTTCGTAAAACTTTCGTCATTCCTGATTTCTTCTTTATGTTGCACATTGCTTCTGGGTTAACATGAACGTTTAAAGGTAACTTAAATGCCGAATGCGCAGTTCGTCCTCCTTCAAGTAATGTCGCTGCAATTCCTGATGAAGCTATTGCCAACGCAATATTATTTTGCGATCGCACACGCGCAAGAATCAGTGAAATAATAAATGTTTTGCCAGTGCCTCCAGGTGCGTCCAAAAAAAAAAATCCGCCCTGTTGTGCCTCAATTGACGTATTGATTTGATCATATACACTTTGTTGCTCGGCAGTAAGCAATATTTCATTATTATCAACAAAAGTAGCTAAAGCAGTTTTATCAAACTGGTGTTCACGTTGAACATCGCTGTTCATAATATCTACTGCTGCTCGGCTCGGTGCTGACATGCCAAATTAAATTAGCGACATGTTCGAAATTTGGATACAAATATCACAATCATTATTAAGGCTTCGTTATATATTAGTTCTGAAAATTCATGATTATTATCTTGATTATTAATTTTATACCGATGCAAAATATCCTCACTCATTGGGTCTTTATGAGTATTCCACAGTGCAGATGCATCTGATGGAAAACATGTTGTTAATATTATTGCAAATAATTGTCGAATTTGATGTGCAGATGAAATCAGTGCTGCATCTGCAAGAGTCTTGTCTCATTGATTATCATTCTCCAATAAGTGCAACTCACGTCACGCATCATAAAAAGTTAATAAAAGCATTCTCGTTGCTTAAAATGAACAGTATACAATCTACCAAATTGTTTGTCATATATATGCCTTCGAATCCTGAAACAGGAATACCTCGTTTTCTAGGTACCCAATCTTTTAATTTTTTATCCCATGTAAAATATTCAGGTGTATCTGTATATAATAATGTTCTAGCAAATCTTCCAGCAATATCTGATCTACTACAAAGTTTAAAAAATGCAGTTAGAGTAGTCTTCGAAGCAGTCAAAGCTTGTTGTAATATATTGTTTTCTGTAAAGTATACCCGCTGACCGTTCTCCAAATGCACAGCCAAATGTACCACAGATGGATTTCTTTCATGTATGGAAAAACCAAAAACACGCCAGATAGCTTCATTGCTGCTAACGTATCTACTCATTTGATATCGAGTTATTTCATCATTCTCATTAATACTTTAAATTGCAAATATCGCTTTGTCGCTCCCTTTATGAACATATTTGCATATGTATGTTATTGACTTTATCGAGCTGCACAGTTCGACATTTATATGTGCTTTATAGGTTTTGCATAGCAAAGGCGAATAAGGAACTACCCATAGATTATCAACATCTATTACCCCGCCATTCGACAGTCGCAATTCAAAACATTGTCCACCATTGTCAACGTCACGTCGCCGATAAGCGGGGTAACCATCAATGTCGGTGATAGTATCGTTTTGAAATGATTTTGGAAAATGTTTTGTACATTTTCCATTTATTTATTTATTTATTTTATTTATTTATTCATAAGCAAGCCGTAATCAATAATAATAGATATTATTTCAGGCTCTTGTCAAGCTTATTCATAGTTAATATTAAAATGATAGTAATTTTATAATAATCATAGTAGCTGCACGAATTTCGCTTCTGAAAAAAAAGAGCTGAAAAAAAAAGCATTCGAACATTAAATACAATGTTTATCATCAAGTTCATCATATTAGTCTATTTGACCACCAGTCAAGCTCAAAATTCTTGCACAAGGTTGAAAGTTATACTCATTAAAACCGTGAAAAAATTAAATTAATAAAATAGCAATGAAAACAAATAAAATAAATATATGGTTGTACAGGCGATCAAATGGTCAGACTACATAGATACAGGATAAAGATTATGCAAGAAAATAGTTATTGAAATCAAATTGAGAAAATTCAGTAATGTCATAAAAAGCTATGTCTTTAAAAAGTTTAACTAGGGAAGCATGAAATTTTTTGCTGTCTAAGTTTCGGATATTGAGTGGAAGTTTATTCATAAGCTGAATACCTAGACCGTCGATCGTATTGAAAGAGCTGGCTAATTTATATGTACGCGCCTTAATAAGTTTGTGTCTAGTGTTGTAATTTGAGGACGAACCCATATCAAAAAGTTTCGAATTGTTTTTGATGAAAGTTAATGTTACCAGCAGAAAAATGCATGGGACAGTTAGAATATTGTATTTTTTAAATATGAGTCTGCAGGAGGCTTTCCTGGGCAAGGAAAAAATTATTCGAATAGCTCTTTTCTGAAGCTTAAATATTTTAATTAGTTCGGATGAAATACCCCAGAATTGGATGCCGTATGAAACGTGAGAATAAAAGTTGCTATAATAAACTGAAAGTAAGCAATTTAAACCAAGTTTGGGTTTTAGGGTGCGCAACATGAAACATGTTCTAGATAAAGTTGGTGATAGAGAGATAGAGATATGATCAGACCACTTTAAATTATTATTAATATGGATACCAAGAAACTTTGATACTTGCGAAAAATTATATGCTGAATTATTGATGGTTAAAGAAGTAATATTATTGGATAAACGATTTTTTGTACAAAAAGATATGATTTGGGTCTTATCATTATTGAGGACTAGATTATTTTCACAAAACCATTTCGTTATTTCTGACATAACCACGCTTAATTTATGTTGTAATTCATTAAGAGATTTGGCCTTGATGATAACGCTGGTATCATCCGCAAAAAGAATAAAATCACAAAGATTTGTACAATGAGGTAAATCATTAATATAAATGAGAAATAAGAGAGGCCCTAAAATTGATCCTTGGGGCACGCCCAATGTACTTGTCAATTTGTCCGAAATTATTTGCTCGTGATCGTTATTTAAGTAAACGCTTTGTGTTCGATTAGACAGGTAAGATTCAAATAGTTTGAGCGAACGTCCGCGAATACCACAATTTTCTAATTTGTCAAGAAGTCTTTGATGAGAAATACTATCAAAAGCTTTGGACAGATCGCAAAATATCGCAGTACAATATGTGGCTTCTTCGAAGGAGTCAATGATGTTATGTACTAAATTATAAATTGAGTGGTTGAGTGGAATTGAGGAAGTAGAATGGTTCTTTCGGAAACCATGCTGATTCTTGAACAAAATATTATATTTATTGAGAAAAGACGTTAATCTAGTATGCAAGATTTTTTCAATTATTTTATCGAAAGAGTTCAAGAGGGAAATGGGACGGTAATTATTTATATCGTCTTTATTATTTTTCTTATGAAGTGGAAAAATCTTTGAGTGCTTGAGGTGGGATGGAAATATTCCTTCATCGAAGCATTTATTTAAACATAACATAAATTTATCTATAAAAAAGGGATAGAATTCTTTAAGAATGAGACTAGGTATCTGATCCGTACCCGCTGAACTAGTAACTTTTATCGATTGAAAGGTTTGCTTTAGTTCTTCTAAATTTACAGGATAAAGAACGAATGTAGAATTATTTCGCGCGGATAAAGATTTAGTCGAACTAGTGGTGGTCGAGTTAATTGCGCTTGTTAATTTAGACGCTTCGGTGACAAAAAAGTGATTAAATTTATTAGATATGACTACCTTATCAATAATCTTGTCGCCGTTAAATGTAAGACAATCAATCTGTGAAGATTTAGTATTTGTGTTGATTTCCGAATTAATTAAGGACCAAATTGTTTTCTGTTTATTTGCTGAATTAAAAATCAAGTTTTCGTTGTATTTGATCTTCGCTAAATTGATTAGATCATTTAAAGTTGCCCTATATTTCAAAAAATAAATTATAAAAGCCATGTTATCATTATGTACCGATAATCTCTCAAGAAATGCTAATCTTTTAAGTGAAATTCTCAACCCTTTAGTTAGCCAAGGAGTTGAAGTATTATTTTTTGGGCAAACGGTTTACTTAATGAGAGGAAAAGCTTGATTGAAACTGAATAAAAATGTAGAAATAAAGTTGTCGAACATTGTATTTGAGTCTTTGGACTTGTTAAGCAAGGTCCTTTTCCAAAAGACATTTGAAAATCAATTTATTTGATTCATCAAAATAACGTTTGTGTAAGATAAAGGTAGATTTAGAAGTTGAGAAATTACAAAAATTTAATATTATGCCTCGATGGTCTGAAAGAGTGGTATTTATAACATGCGAATCAAAGTCTTTTAAATTGGTGAAGAAATTATCAATGCAAGAAGAAGATTGATGCGAAAAACGAGTAGGTTCGTGTATAGTACGAGTTAAACCAAAAGACTGCATATTCAAATTGAATTCAATGGATGGCTTCGATTGCTTATCAAAGTGTATATTAAAATCGCCGCAAACAATGATTTTGGAATATTTATCAAAAAGGTTATGAATCAATTCGCACATCAGCGAGATGAACATATCAACATTCTGGTCAGGCGATCGATAAACGCATATAAGACAAACGACGTCATTTGAGAGATTAATTTCAACAGCACAGTATTCAAAAAGTTTTTCTACTTGAAGAGTATTAGTATAAACGGGTTTAGAACGAATGAAATCACTTACAAAAATGCACACACCACCGTGGCCATATTGAGTTCGACAGAAATGAGAAGATAAATTATAACCTTTAATTTTAATTAATTCAAGATCCGACTTATTTAACCAGTGTTCAGCAAAACATAATATTTGGGGTTTATAATTATCTATAACTAATTCTAATTGATTAAGTTTATTGGATAGTTTTTGTATATTTTGAAATAAAATTGAAAATTTGTTATCAGCTTTAGGCACGAAAGGAATTAGAAACCGAAGGTTTCATTCCCGCCACAGCCTTGACACTCAACAACTCGTTAGCTAAAACCCTACATAATTTTCTTTTCCCGTTGAAAAGAAAATGTAAGCCATGCGTGGTGTAATCGGATAAACCAACATGCCTGTTGACATTAAGAATCCGAAGATTACTGAACTTTCCTTGACCGTAGTCTCGGTTGATCCAGCAATTGGCATCAGAAATCAGCCCGTTGCAACGCACGTCGTCGTATCTGTACGGAATTGTCATCAAACAAAGGTTTGTCTTTTGACATGAACGACGAGCCTTTTCCAAAGCGCTACGAATAGCGTAATTCGTAAATTCATCCCTAAGCTGTTTCAAATCTATGTTCCGTTTTTTTATTAAACCAGATAACTCGTTACAGAGTTTTGAAAAATAATATATATATATATATATATAAAAGAATATATATATAAATATATATATATAAATATATATATATATATATATATATCTTATATATAAAATTCTTCTGTAACAATGTAAGTTTCATTAATCCTCCTAAACTATAATTCGGATTTTCATGAATCTTCCTGAAGTTTGTTCGGGAAATTTTCTAGAATGTTTTGATTCACAGAAATATAGTTAGATTGTAGAAATAAATGGAAAAAAATACAAAAAACCGCTTATCATTGTTTGACCTTTAAAATATTTAAGGCATGGTTTGACATTAAAAACAAATGACAATTGTCATTTGCCAAACATTTCTATTCACTTATAGGCTAAGGCAATATTAAAATATAATAAATTCATGATTATAAATAAGGAAAATGTAATGTCTACATTATTATTGCCGAAAAGCAGCTGAGATGTGCCAAAAATTAAATTAATATAATATGCAAATAATATAACATGCGTTTGACAAGTGATGATGCAGTCTGCGCATGCGTCTGACGTGCGCGTGGTTTGCTTTTGCTTGCAATAATTTTGTCTGCGCACTTTGCGAACAGATTCGCCGTACGAATTCGTGCAAAGGAGACGAGCCATAAGTGATTGCGCGCAATAATATTCAATTTGCAGTCGTTTTGCCTTACTATACTAAGTTACAATACAAAAAAAAAAATTTAGAAGTTTCATTGTGTCAAAAATTCATATGTTTGTCATTGGGTACGGAATATTTACTCAATGGAGCGCTTTCGGTCTGAACTTTTTTTTACTGTTTTCCATTTCGTTTGGAATTTGGAACTAGGTTTATCTTACTCTTCAGAAGTGAAAACAATTTAGACTCCTTTACCACTTCTCGGCTGGATGACCTTTCTTTTCAGTGGTGTAATTTTACATTTTTCAAAATAACATTGGGTATCGATAAAAGAACTAATTATAAGAGAAAATGTTTAATAATGTTTTTCAA